AGCAGAGAGCATGATGAATAGACCAAAGGATCTTGTATGTACAGAATACATGTCAGACCCAGATCAGGATATCTGCATAAAGAAGACATTCACCTGCAGATTTGTCCTACCTTTTATTTATATATTTTTTAAAGATCAATCTAGAATACCATATATTTAAAGAATATGTAAACCCAACATTTCATATTCCTGATATGTGCCTGCCATGTACTTTATTATATTAGTATACATATATGAATATTATATACTTGTATGAAAAAAAATATCCTGTTCTCATTGTATTTCTTCCTTTGTGTGAAATCCCTGGTGTTCCTTCCAGTCCCTCTGCATTCCTATAAAAAAATGACCACGTTAAGCAGGAGAAACACACCGTGGTCAGTTCTCTACTCTAGCTGTGCTGGAACTCAGTGTGCTCTTCTACAATGATCAGACTTGTCCTGACCCCCCTGTGCAGTCTTTCACTGGGAATTTCAGTGTACTGCTGTGTCTCCACCCTCACCTCTCTGGGCAGCTGAAAACAGAGGCTATGTGTTCACTATATTTTTTATATATTATTACACAAATGTTTTGCTTTCATTTCTATTTTAAACTAAACAGGTTTTTTTTTAGAAGGTAAGGGTTTAAAATCACCTTTAAGTTGGTATCTCCAAATCAGGGAAACTGTAAGAGTATAGGCCTTTGTTATGCTGGAGTCAAATCAATATGTACGGTTTACCTTGGCCCCTGGCTTCTGGCCAGGGGGATGTCACCATGCCTCACCACCGAAAAGCTAGTCAATTCAAAGCCAACAATAGGCTTCAACCCATTGCAGTAGTGAATTCTTGTAAGATTTCAAGCACCCTGTGCCGGCAGCAGGAGCAAGGGACAGTAACATCACCCACCCTGTCCAGGAGCAGGGGCTGAATTAGTTTATCAACATTTCTAACCTTTTTTATGTTATTTGTATTGGGAGGGTAAAGGAATATCACAGAACCCAGTTGGTCACCACTGTGCAGATTCTCACAACATTGAACTTTTGCACTTGCTGCTACGGAACCAACATGCGTTTCTGAACTCTTTGACATGCACTTCCATATTCAGCCTAAAGGAGTATACTTTATACTTTTAATATTCGGCTTTAAATAGAATATAAAATCCACACCTCGATCCAGAATACACATTTACGGAGGAGGAAAAGGTAATACAGCTGGGAATAAAAAAAAAAAAAAAAAAAAATCGACACACATTGAAAAGGAAAAATAAACAAACAGGCCCATATCTTAAAATGATTAATGTTTAACCACCTTCTTACTGCGGTTTTGGAAAAAATGTCAGGGAGGTAGATGTCAATTTCTGAAGTCCATTTATGAGCAGCACTTCAGAAGTAGCCCTTGAGCAGCCAGTGCGCCTGTTAGGGATGCAGGCCGTGCCATCCCAGCTTGGTTCACAGACAATGCACAGAGCTGATCTGCATGGCTCTGTACTATGTGATCACTGTAATAACCAATCCTCGTGCTCACAAAATGTAAACAGTACTACTATTTTCATCACAGGGCCTGCCCCTTCCTCTTACAACAGAGGAAGGTGAAGAAACTAATGAATTAAGATCATTCACTGGTTTCCAAACAAAAGAAGCAGCAGATTAAGGGTGAGGGTGGATTGTGGGCTCATTTTTAATTTTTAAACCCTGAATGCGACTTTTGTATCATGTTACCATTGATTGGCTCTCACAGCTGACATGATCGAGAACCCATCCTGCTGGCTCTCTATCAGAAGCCCAGACAAAGAGCTGTCAGTGACAGTTCCATCAGTGTGCTGGGATAATGCAGCAAGTGTGCTTTCAGCACACAACCTCAGCCAACCATGGAAGTGCAGTGGCTGAGCATTAAAGCCTGCCTTCCTTACCAGCGCATATATACATTATGTGGTCGTCAAGGGGTTTTATTTATAGGATTGAGTGGGGTTTTTTTTAACCCTTTCATCTCCCCATCCTTCCTATGTACATCTAATCTCAATCCTCTTTATATATGACCTGTATATAAACACCCTTATATTCCTTATCAAGCACATCTGAATATTAACCCCCCTTCATCTCCATTCTCCCACTGCACCTACACTGACCTTTACATTAACATGTTTCTTCATTCCCATTAAAAAAAATGTGTCAAAAAATGAGATCACTGTGGGTTGTCTACTTTCAAAACAAGGTTATTTGGGGGGAAAAAAAAAAAAAAAACAAAAGAAAAAAAAAAAAAGATGGTTAATAAATACCACCAAAAGAAAGCTCTATCCGCCTCAAAAATTGATCTGGGTACATGCTAAAGTGAAACTTCACCCAAAAGGGAAAGTTCCGCTTTTCCTCACCCCACCCTGGCTACATTTGGGGGGGGGTTGCAGGTACCTGGTTTTGTCTGCTACCCACTCCAACTGGAAGTCCCCCCCCCCACCCGCAACGTTCTGGGACTCGTCACAGGTCGTAGAAGGCTGCAGGACCATTCACAAAGCGCAGTACACTCACAAATGTGCAGTGTGAAGTCAGAAGGAATCACAGTCGGTAGCCCACAGTAAACATGCTAGCTCCAGGGACCCGAAGGACACGCTGCATCCTTGGACAGGTGAGTGTCTGTTTATTAACCACTTGCCCTCCAGAGGCTTTACCCCCCTTCCTGACCAGACCATTTTAACTGCTTCCACAAGCAGTCATGCAACGCTGCACCCAAATGAAATTTATGTCCTTTTTTTCCCCACAAATAGAGCTTTCTTTCGGTGGTATTTGATCACCTCTACATTTATATTTTTTACACTATAAACAAAAAAGAAAACTGAAAATTTTGAGGGAAAAAAAAAAAACCAATATTTTTGACATTTGCTATAAAACATATCCTGTAAAAAAATTATCAAATTTCTTAAAAAATTTAGGCCAAAATGTATTCTGCTACATGTCTTCGCTAAAAAAAAAAAAAATTCCCAATACATGTAAATTAATCGGTTTACGTGAAAGTTATAGCATCTACAAATGGCCGTATACATACTGGAATTTTTTATACTAGTAATGGCGGCGATCAGCAACTTATAGCGGGACTGCGGCGGCCATTCTGATACTGGGGGGAACTGACTGTCACTGACATCCCCAGTGACACCAATACAGTGATCAGTGCTAATAAAAAGCACTGACACTGTACTAATGACACTGGGCAGGAAGGGAGTAACATCTGGGACGATCAAAGGGTTAACTGTGTGCTGTTTTACAGTGTAAGCACAATGCTTTGTATTGCTCTGCTATGCAGAACAATACAAAGCAGAGTGCTGGAGCTGAGAGGGGAGAGATCTGTATTGTTTACAAATAGACCTCTCCCCCGTCAGTGATACTCGGCGATCGCCTGGTGCTGGCGGGGAGTAACATCTGGGCTACGATCAAAACATCTGGGGCGACTGTGTGTGTTTTACTGTGTGCTGTGTGTGCGCTTTACTAGGGAGGGATGCGGTTTTGTATTGCTGTGCTATGCAGAGCAATACAAAGCAGCATGCTGAAGCTGACAGGAAGAGAGATCTGTTTCGTTTACATACAGACCTCTCCCCCGTCAGTGTTAGCCGGCAATCACCAGACGCCAGCGGGGAATCTCCAACCGGGACCTTGTGATTGACAGCTGTAGCCACCAACGGTGGCGCGGGTAGGACGTGAACACCCCTACTGGGAAATACAAAATCACGTATATATAAGTAATTTTGCGCAGCCCTGCAGCAGTATTTGTATTATAGGGCGGCAGGGAAGCGGTTAAAAGTCAGCTGCTATGGTTTTTGTAGGGGCTGACTTTTAATTTTTGCCACTAGATAGAGAAAAAAAAGGGTGCCGCACACACCTAGTGCATTATCCAAGGTTTATTAAAAGGAGTGAAAAATAAAAATATACTCACAGATGAAGCATGTATCTAAAAAGAATTTGTATTATGATGATGGCCACAATGGCAAGCAAGGTGTTCTCACTGTCAGTGCGGTCAAATGGCGTTTCGGAGATGAATCCCTTTCCTCAGAGCTACTGACCAGCCTCTGATGCAGATGTGTAGTGGATGGATGATGGGAGCCTTGCTGGGATTCGTCCCCGAAACGCGTCAGCCATTTGACCGCACTGGAACACACATGTCCCTATTTAAATTGAAGAGGGGGGAAAAAAATGAACTGGAACACATTAAAAACCGCACCAGAACACATCAAAAATGCATCAAAAACGTGTTAATGCGCATGCGAGAACACATCTGGACTGTGTTTCTATGGTGTGAACCAGCCCTAAAGGCTGGTTCACACTAAATGTGTTCCAGTGTGTTTTTCCCTGCATCTGAAATGCACTGAAAGTACGTTACATGGTTGTCAATGGCATGGTTCACACCAGTGCTTGCAGTCCAGTGCGTTTCAGTCCTTGGAGAAAAAAAAAAAAAAAAGTAGAACAAGCGGCATTTTTCCTGCAAAGAACTGTATTGGAACGTGGTACAAAACATCAAAAACACATCTGGAACGCACTGGAACACATTAAAGATGCACTGGACCCCAAATGACTCAAAAAAGAGGGGGGAAAAAAACATCTGGAATGCATTGAAAACACATTAAAAATACACCTGAACGCATCAAAAACGCACATGCAGAAACGCATCCAGACTGCTTCTATGGTGTGAACCAGCCCTTAATCATTAGTCATTGTCAAAGTATGACAGTGCTGAACAGCAAACAATGGCATGGCCAGGAGGGGGGGGGGGGGGGGGGGAACATACTGGAAGTGAAGTGGCAAGTAATAATAATATAAAATCCATCCCCCACCCAGAGCATTTCCTACCTGAAGAAAAGGGAATACAGCTGGAAATATTGCGAACACATTAAATAGGAAATAAAAGCACACGTGGCCATGTGTTAGTATGAATAAGGGGTGAGCCCAGCTGAGCTGCCCCATACATACAGGAGCCCAGGATGAGGCAATGACACATGTCATGGCTGTCACCCTCCATTCTATCACTGCACTCTCCGGCTCTTACCCGTGGTCTGTCCTTGGTGATCGGATAGAACCTCTTATTGAAGCTGTCTGCTATGAGCACGGCATACAATGGAGGCAGCTCCTCATCTCCCCCTGCACCTCGCTTCCCAACCCGCGCAGCCATAGCTCGCTCTCACGCTTCTCCACTCAGCCGTTCCGGCCACCGTACTCTGTCACCCGGCTCCTTCTACGGTGTCCCACAGAGGCCAATCCAACCTGGACCACTTCCGTGTACGAAGTCAGCCATCTTGGTACACCTCAGCGCCGAACACGTCGGCTTCCTCTAAGGAGGGCCAGCCATCTCACTGCACTGCACGGGAATCCCACATTTGTAAACATCGGGATATGTGTTATTCTTATTGGCCGCAAGATGGCACTTTATCATCTAAATCAGGGTAGCCGATATAAAGCCAACTTTGTTTCCTGTTAGATTTGGATGGAGAAGAGGAAAGGGGGGGGGGGGGGGTTAGAACCTCTGCCATAATATTGTGACAGGTGAAGTGAACAACCTAGATACAATGGTCTCTGAAAATGGGTGGGAAATCTCACGGCATCAAGTGAACATGTTGAGCCTGAAGTTGATGTGTTCAAAGAAGAACAAAGTAAGCAAGAGTAAGGATTTCAGCAATTATGACAAGGACCAAATTGTAATGGCTAGATCAGTGGCCTCCAAACTGTGGCCCAATGGCCGGATGCTGCCCTTTGCTAGCCTTTTTTCAGCCCTTCGGGAACTATTCTTCTGATTCCTCCTACTGACACCAATAGTGAGGCAAAATTCCTCCAACTTACACTAATGATGAGGCACTATTCCTCCCGTGAGCTTCAATGAAGGGGCACTATACGTCACACTAGTATCAATGATGGGGTACTATTCATCCCACTGCTATCAATGAAGGGGCACTATACGTCACACTAGTATCAATGATGGGGTACGCTATTCGTCCCACTGCTATCAATGATGGGGCGCTATTCCTCCCCCATTAGTATCAATGATGGGGCACTATTCCTCCCATTAGTATCAATGATGGAGTTCTACTCCTCCCACTAGTATCAATGATGGGGCACTATTCCTCCCATTAGTATCAATGAAGAGGCATTATTCCTCCCATTAGTATCAATGAAGGGGCACTATACGTCCCACTAGTATCATTGATGGGACACTATACGTCCCACTAGCTTCAATGATGGGGTACTATTTGTTCCACTAGTATCAATGATGAGGCACTATTCCTCCCACTGGTATCAATGATGGGGCACTATTCGTCCCACTAGTAACAATGATGGGGCACTATTCCTCCCACTAGTATCAATGATGGGGCACTATTCATCCCACTGGTATCAATGATGGGGCACTATTCATCCCACTGGTATCAATGATGGGGCACTATTCATCCCACTGGTATCAATGAAGAGGCACTATTCATCCCACTGGTATCAATGATGGGGCACTATTCATCCCACTAGTATCAATGATGGGGCACTATTCCTCCCACTAGTATCAATGATGGGGCACTATTCCTCCCATTAGTATAAATGATGGGGCACTATTCCTCCCACTAGTATCAATGATGGGGCACTATTCCTTCCCATTAGTATCAATGAAGAGGCACTGTTCCTCCCATTAGTATCAATGATGGGACACTGTTCCTCCCACTAGTATCAATGATGGGGCACTATTCCTCCCATTAGTATCAATGATGGGACACTGTTCTCCCACTAGTATCACTGATGGGGCACTATTCGTCCCACTAGCATCAATGATGGGGTACTATTCCTCCCACTAGTATCAATGATGTGGTAATATTCCTCCCATTAGTATCTGTCACGGTGTGGGAGCCTGCCAATTATTAATCCCCTTATTAATGCCTTGTATAACATGCCCTCAGAGTCCTGCTCTGTATTGTTCCAATTGTCCCCTGTGTCACTAGGCCAAATGCCCTAATCAAATTATTCTGGGCCCCCTCCCTTCCTGCCAGCTGGCTGGGAGCTCTCTGCACATCTCCCAACTTTTCATCTATGCAGACATCATCCCTGCCCCCCAGGATGTCCCTGTAACCAGCCTGATTCTCCCTGAGGTCTAGTATTACCTCCCCCCTCCCGGTTGCCAAGGCGACCGGGGAGCGTCCTGCAGCATTAAGAGGCTGATGCTAGAAGCTCCGTTTTTCATTCCGGTGTGGAGTCCGCAAGGGATCTCAAGCTTTGGCGAGACCTTTCTGACTAGACTCTGCAAGTCTACTCCCCAGCCTCACAGAGACCCCACAGGAGGGAAGAGGCCGGCCAGAGAAAGCTTGCCTGCGATTGCGAGAGACCCCACAGAAGGGGGAGAGACTACCACAGCCCGTCTGCCAGAGCCAGAGGCCACCCGCCTGATCCGGACTCCACAGGTACCTGCGTTCTGCTTCTACCCCTGGGTGACCAGGCACCCTGTTGGATCCGTGAGTACCTGCTTCCCCACTGTTACCTGAACTGTTGTGGTGGTGACTCCTCGCACCCCTCTCCTGTGTCGGACTATCCCTGTTACAGGAACACCCCCTTGGGTCTCCTAGTGGACTGTAAGTGGGTGGGGCCCCATCGTTACCATTTAGTGGCAAATCCACCCTCTCTGCCATCCACCGTATTGAAGGACTGCCGTCTGTTTGTCTCAATAAAGCTTTGTGCATCTGCCATCCACTCTGTGTGTTCTGTCCTGCCTTTCCTCCATCACAGTATCAATGATGGGGCACTATTCCTCCCACTAGTATCAATGATGGGGCACTATTCCTCCCACTAGCATCAATGATGGGGTACTATTCCTCCCACTAGTATCAATGATGGGGTAATATTCCTCCCATTAGTATCAATGATGGGGCACTATTCCTCCAACTGACACTAAAATGATGGGGCAGACTATTTTCTTCCATGAGTACTAATGGGGCATGGATAAAAATGGGAGACTATTCCTCCCACTAATGACTATTCCTCCCACAAAAAGGGGTACTACTACTCCTACTGACCACCAACCCTGAGACCATGCTTATGCTCACTGATGCTTGGCCTGGGACCTTTCTACCTCAACTGGCCACAATCCGGCTCTCCTAAAATCTGAAGGACAGTAAACTGGCCCTTTGAATGAAAGGTTTAGAGACCCCGGAGCTAGAAAACTGCATAAGATCATCTCCAAAACTGCAGCTCTTGTGGGATGTTCTTGGCCTGCAGTGCTCAGGAGCTGCTAAAAGTGGTCTAAGGAAGGAGAACAGCTAACCAGCAGCAGGGCGGCCATTGCTTATTGACACATTTGTGGAGCGAAGGCTGGTCTGTGTAGTAATAGAAGATCTGCTGTAACTCAAATTGCTGAAAAAGTTAAAGCAGAATTATACTCACCTCAGTTCTCGCAATGCAACGTCCCTCAGCCGGCTTCCAGGTGTTGATCCCTGATCACTGTCAGTCAGTTTTGGAATTGATGAATTTGTACAGTGTCCTGCGCATGCGTGGATCAGTGTACAGTGGCAAACAGACAGGCAAGTAACTTTAATGCAGAAAAGAAAAAACATGGTACATTAAAACTCTTGCCTGTTCAGATTACCACTTCCCCACTTTCCATGTAACCAAGCCGTTACATGTGAATAGAGCTACCGTCCCTTACATTTCACACTGACCCCATTACACCCAGCACGTCTTAGATGACACCCACTTCTTCCCCATTACATTTCACACTGAACCCCATAACACCCCTTAGCTTCTTAGATGACACCCCTCACTTCCCCCATTACTTTTCACACTGAACCCCAGTGACTCACCCTCTGCACATCTTAGATGACACCCACTTCTCCCATTACATTTCACACTGAACCCCTTATTACACCCAACACATCTTAGATGACACCCACTTCTCCCATTACATTTCACACTGAACCCCATTACACCCAGCACGTCTTAGATGACACCCACTTCTCCCATTACATTTCACACTGAACCCCATTACACCCAGCACGTCTTAGATGACACCCACTTCCCCATTACATTTCACACTGAATCCCATTACACCCAGCAGTCTTAGATGACACCCACTTCTCCCATTACATTTCACACTGAACCCCATTACACCCAGCACATCTTAGATGACACCCACTTCCCCCATTACATTTCACACTGAACCCCATTACACCCAGCACGTCTTAGATGACACCCACCCACTTTCCCCCATTACATTTCACACTGAACCCCATTACACCCAGCACATCTTAGATTACACCCACTTCTCCCATTACATTTCACACTGACCCCATTACACCCAGCACATCTTAGATGACACCCACTTCGCCCATTACATTTCACACTGCACCCCATTACACCCAGCAAGTCTTAGATGACACCCACTTCCCCATTACATTTCACACTGTACCCCATTACACCCAGCACGTCTTAGATGACACCCACTTCTCCCATTACATTTCACACTGCACCCCATTACACCCAGCACATCTTAGATGACACCCACTTCCCCCATTACATTTCACACTGAACCCCATGACACCCAGCACATCTTAGATGACACCCATGTTCCCCATTACATTTCACACTGAACCCCATGACACCCAGCACATCTTAGTTGACACCCACTTCCCCCATTACATTTCACACTGAACCCCATTACACCCAGCACGTCTTAGATGACACCCACTTCCCCCATTACATTTCACACTGAACCCCATGACACCCAGCACGTCTTAGATGACACCCACGTCTCCCATTACATTTCACACTGAACCCGATGACACCCAGCACATCTTAGATGACACCCACTTCTCCCATTACATTTCACACTGAACCCCATGACACCCAGCACATCTTAGATGACACCCACTTCTACCATTACATTACATACTGTACTCGCCACTCTTAGCAGATCTCACATTGCAACTTCTGTTCATTTTTGACAATTTTTGACAATTGGAACAGGTTGCTAAGGGACATTAGACATACTCACACCTCTTTTTTAGGTGAATATGAAAAAACTTTGTTCACTTTGAATACCTAATTGTGTTCAAGAACATGTAAAAAAAACCTTATTTTTTCCAGAACATTATTGAACATACACTTTAAAGTAATTCCAAAGTCAGTTTTTTTTTAGCTTAATGCATTCCC